AGGATGCCCGCAAGGGTCCATCTTCGGGCCGGCGGCCTGGAATTGGTGCCTGGACAAGTTTCTGGTATATTTCACAAGTATAATGGACAGAGAAGAGGCCTGGGTCAACGCATATGCGGACGATGTAGCTTTTATCATTAAAGCAAATACAAGAGCAGAATTGGAGAAGACAAGAAATGGAGTGGAGGAAATGTTTGTCAAATGGTGCATGGAAAACAAACTAAAGGTTTCGGAGAGTAAGACAGTTGCTCTTTTAGTTAAAGGAAACCAGGACATAAGGAGACCGCCTCAAATAAAAGTATATGGGAACACAATCCAATACCCAAGTACTTGTAAGTATTTGGGAATAACTTTCGACAGAGAGTTGAGCTTTCTACCTCATATGAGGACATTAAGAACTAAGGTGGTCAGTTAAATGGCGTCTCTTAGGAGACATGCCCATGAGGAATATGGTATAAAAAGGCCTATACTGGATATGTACTATAAGGCGATGTGACTTCCAATGATAACATACGGCTGTGTTATATGGTACTATAGGGTGGAAAATCCTACAATAAAGAAGGAACTAAGTGCAATTCAACGTGCAATATTAATACTCGTTACAAGAGCTTGTAGGACCATATCTACAGCGGCAATGAACGTAATAGCAGAATATAAGCCGATGGATCTGGAAATTACTAGTATTGCATTAGCAAGACTATTGAAAAAGGGCAAGTCGGTATTTTGGAGAGATGTGGAGCTACCAGTTGAACTGGATTTAGAAGTGGAGGAGAAGTTGAAAAGACTGGAAGAGAGAATCAAGACTGAATGGCAAGACCAATGGAAAACCGACGAGCATGGAAGAGAATTGTATATCTTTATTAAGAATGTAAATTTTGCCAAGGAAAAACCGTGGTTTAGGCCAACAACACTTATGACATAAATATTAACAGGATACGGATCTATTAATTCTTCGCTTTATAAGCGGCGATTACGGATTCAGCCATGTGTCCTGCATGTGGGCTTCAAAAGGAAATTGTGAAGCATATACTATTTGAATGTAATAACTATAGCAGCTTCAGATATGATACACTGACTGCAAATATCCGG